AAAACCCTAGAATAAATCAAAACACTGGAGACAAAACCAAAACCAAATCCCAAACAAACAAACAAACAAACAAACCAAAACAATTAAACAAGCTACTAATGTATTTCCTCATCTGAGGTTGTGGTTTGATGTGGTCACAGTTGTTTGTTGTTTTTTTTCTGATGTCTCTTCCTAAATTTCTCTAGATCACTAGAAAGGAATCAATGAGAATTGATCCAATTTGTAGAACACAATTCTAATATTGATAGTAGTTTATATTAATTTGCTTCACCCTAATCTTTTATTAATGTTTATTTACACACAGATGTTCATGATGTTTCCTCCTAATTTTGTACCTCTGAGCTGATCAGGATAGTGAAATTTAGAGAAAAGTAACAAGAAATAATAAATTTATATATTTTTTGCATTAAATATGGTAACAATTACTATTTTTGTAGTCAGACATTTTTCAGAAGGTGGCTTTAATTTCAGATAAACAGTCACCTGTGTAAAAACTCAAGTGAGATTCCAACAGTATCAAGAAATTGTTTCTGTGTAAGTCTTTTCAATTTGTCTTTATGTCCTCCAGGAGGATGGACCAGAACATCAATACTGAATCATTGGGGACTTTTAAGGATATGTCATCCATAAAAGGTGTCATGCAGACACATCTCCTTGGTACAAAAGAAAGAGTAACTGATGGCACCACTTTCTGTTACCTGTGTGGGGGTGGAAATCACTGCTGAATTTTCAATGAATAGCAGAACCATGGTTAAAAGCATATTTGATATAATATTTGAGGTTAGGATTGCACAAAGCATTTGAATATAAATACTTGCAAAAATAAATGTGTCTGTTCTGAGGTGTGGTAGGAAATAAAAGAATGAATAACAATAGTAAATATGTAGTACTTAGATTTTCTGGTCATTTTAAAAGTTAAAGACATGTAAATTAATGAGTGGTGTTTAGTGGATATTGATGGACTCCAATAAAATTTCAGTGGAAATTTCATTGGAAAAGCTTCCCCATATTCACATACCTCTTTAGTGCTATCTGACTACCACTGAACCACCTAAACATGTTTTCAACTTGTATCATTAAGCTAAATCCTGTTGCTGCTCTGTTATCTGTTCTTGGGTTGCTCTGACTAGACTTGAAACCATTTCACCAAAAACTAGACCAGTTAGTGCTGGTAAACATAGCACTCTCCAGTCAAGTTAAAATAGAAGTTTCTTCATTTTTTTTTAATGCCTTTATGTACTTGTCCAACTGAAAAAATGGTGACTGTGAATATGGCCATAGAAAGAGGGAATGAGGTATTTTTCATCATGAGGAGGGTGTTCCTTCTTTCAAATGAGACACCTCTCAAATGCTCCTGTGAAAGAAAAGGATAAAGGGCAGCTCACTTCTTTTTTTTAGTTTGGTAGTCAAGGCTTCACTTTTCATCTTCCTTTTAAAAAATAAACCAGTTTGAAAGTATTAAGAAAAAGAAAAAAAAAAAAAAAGGAAAAAAAAAAGAAAAGAGGGGTAGTAGGGAATTCCTTTTATTTTCTTCCTGAAGTTTTGCATAGTTGCAGGTAAAAAGCAATTTTCTGTTTAATGAAATCTTGGAGTTTGTTTTCTTAGTTTTTGTTTTGTTGTTATGTTTGTTTGTTTTTTTTTACTTAATGAATAAACCAATTGCTGCTTAGGCATTTTTTTAAGTGTAAGTTTTATTTTACTGCAAATAGGCTTTTCTGAGCAGCTAGGATGCCTGAGACCTTGGTTTAAATTCCTCCTGTCTGATACAGAAATTCAACCAAGACTTTCAGTTGTTTTGAGGGTCATCTTTGTTTGTCAGTTCTGTGAAGCCTGTTATAGAGTGATTATGGCATTCTCTAAGAGACAAGAGGCACTGAGTTCAGCCCCTGCTTTGACTCAGACTGAGCTGTACTTTTTTCATACATCAGGTGAATTGTTCCAAGTTATATAATTCATTCCCTTCACTTTTTTTGGCACTGCAACTAGTTCAAAAAGTGTTATGATAAGAAAATGGTTCATTATGTTTAGTAAAGCCAAGTGGAAAATTGTCTGATCCTACGGCAAGGCAGTAGAAGTAAATGCATCATGGCTTTACATTCAGGTCCTTTGCCACCCATTCAACAGAGTACCTTTGCAGCAGTCTCATGGTGAAACGTGCTGTTTAAGTCTGTGGTATTTCTTTCTGTTAAGTTTTATCTTTTATGTTAAGTTTTGCAGGCAAAGACAAAGCTGAATCTTGTGACAGAGCTGAAATAAAATTCATTCCAGTGCAGGGAATCACATCTCAAAATGTAGGACTTGGGTGCAGAGTTATTGTTCAGTGAAAACAGTAGAATTCACCCACAGCAAGAACTGAATTTCAAGGATTGTCATTAGTGAAAGTCATTTCCAGACAGAGACCGTAATTTAACATTAGCTGAATATAATATTATTTATGAATATAATGTTATTTATATTTATATATAATGTTATTTTTACTCAGCCAAAAAGTAGCATTTCTCAAAGAATAAGAGAGTAAATAAAGTCTGTGTGCTTTTGTATTGTAAATAGTAAGTAGGTTGTCACTAACAGATATTACATAAATATCAGTTGTTTGAAAATGAGACTGATCCCTTCATTTCTATTAGTGGAGGGACTGAAGCCAAGATATTTGTGCCTAAAGGGCTGCAAGTAGTTGTAGCGTAGTTTTTTTAAGCTGCTGCTCTCATGTCCTGTTGAATGTATTAAATGCACATAATTTCTGAAATGGGGACTTCTAACTATACTCCTAAGTGAGTCATGCTAAAGGACACTAGAATCAGTCATTTTGTGAGGTGTAACAAGGAGGGTTGGCAAATTTTTGGCAATGCTGTTTGAGGGAATATCTTGGGTACAAAAGATGATTTCGCTATGCAAATATATTTTGCACATGACACCAGACGTTACACTGACACGTAGAACACTCTAGTAGCTTTCAGTGCATCTTCTTCCTTCTTCATAATTTTGAGTAGCATGTGGTTAAATCTCCTAGAAGGAAATTAATTTTTCAAAATTATCATCAGTGGGCTTTTTGCTTGAAATCTCGGTTTGAGCTTTATTTAGTTGGTTATAAACATTTCCCCTAAAAAAAAGTAGGCACAACCTCTGCCTCTTAATTCAATTAAAAGTCACGTCTTTCTGTCCTTTACTGTTGTGATTTAAAACTCTGACCCAATCAACCCTTGAATGCAAATAAGTGAGCAATCTGGAGAAGCAGAATGTTTATCCAGTCACTTTACAGACATTTTCAGAGCAGATTTAAACGATGTACATGACGTTGTCCATTAGCAAGCCAGCAAAGATGAATGGACCAATAAATGAACATATTTCACTTTCTTCATCTGCCAGGATGACACATCATAGTGTTTGGTTGGCTTGTTGGGGTTTTTTTGTCTTTTATTTTCTTAATTTGCACATCAGTTGTTTAACTGACAATTTTTTCGTAATGTTTTTCTACTGAGTCCCCCTTAAATGGATTGGTCTTGAGGATTTTGTTTTTCTTTTTGTTTTTCCTTTGTAATTCATTAAAAAGATACTCATTCATAAGGATGCTGTTCCTGTAAGATTGCTTAAAAGACAAATGGAGAATATAAACATTTGGCATCACATTTTAAAAATGAGCTAGCAAAATTAAGCCTCCAGGAAAAAAAAAAAACAACAAACAAAACCACTTCTGTTTATTCTTGTTTGATTTCATAAATAATTGCTTTAGGTGTGTTGTGAAACTTCAGAATGATTTCTAGCAGTATGTGAATTTTGTTGAAAAGAAAGTAATTATAGAAGTCAAGAATATGTGTGTGTGAGGGAGCAAAACACATCTTTCCTGTTCAGGGTCTTTAAAATAATTAATAAATTATCTGACACCTGTCAACAGTAAAAAAGAAATAAGCAGCCTATTGTTGTGTTAGTGATACTCTTGCAAAGAGATTTGCTTCTTGCAGTTGTTTTGGTTTTGTAGGGGTTTTTTTTAACAAAATAGGAATGTCTGGTTTTAGGGGTTATCTGTTGGACAGTGCACTACCAAAAGTAAATTAAAAATAGAGATTAAGTTTTATAAACAGTTTTGCATTAAGCTGTATAGATGAGAGTGAAAATATCTAGTGATATTGACAACAAATTCCTTTGAGTTGTGCTGTTTTGTTTTCAGAGCCACTGTCATTTTTATTATATTTTTTTCTTTGAATTATTTAGTTCATTATTGTCCTGAGTTATCTTTGTGGTGTTTTGTGGTGTTTGGATCAGCAATTGATCCTGGGGTCTTAAAACACGTATTAATTTATGTGTTTATCTGACCAGCTGCCTTCCCTTTCCTTTTTTTTTTTTTTTATGTGACATCAAAATTGAAATTTTTTCTTGCAAGCATCTTTCAACTCAGAAAATGCGTCTTACTTCCTATGTTGCTAAACTGTTGCCTTTTCACAGAGGGGCTCTACCCCTTTCCACTGCTCCATCTTCCAGAGAGGTAGAGCAGTCTCCCCCGCTCCTCCCCTCCGTGCTTGCCAAGACACAGTTGTCCCCCCCGCCTCCTGCCCACAAAGAGGTGAAGTCCCCTGAGTCTGTAATTGCCAGGAGATGAAGCGATGATGGGGAGTGATCACAGTCAATAGCTTTGATTAACAATAAGGTGGAAAATTAGCAATGCTAGCATTCAGCTCCCCTGCCTTCCCGTCCCCATATGCTCACCACAGCCTGTGCTGGCTGGTTGGCAGGGTGGCCACCGCGCCTGGCGGGCTGCAGAGTGAGATTTGGAAGGGACAGAGAGGGACAGCGGGCAGCGTTTTGGGGACCCCAGGCAATGCTCTCAGCCACCTTTCACTGGGTACCACCATGCAGGCAGGGGAAGGATGAAGCGTGCCGTGTGCTGGCACTGTGGCTCTTGCTGTCATGTGTGGAGTTAATTGTGTCTGGACGTGTTGTGATCGAAATGGCAACTACTGTTACTACTGTGACCCCATCAGCAGCTCTGGTGTTGTTTCCGACAGACTCCGACGACCTAGAGAGGGGGAACGACAGCGGGACACCACTCCCCACCTCTGATAATGGTGACAATTCGCTGGGCTACACAGGTAGAGTGAATCTTTCCAAAATATTCCTGACTGCCTACTTCTGAGGCTTTCCACCTGCATCTGCCATTACCACCTGTACACAGTTTTTTAATCATCTTTGCTAGTTAGCTGTTGTTCACCATCACCCTAGAAGTTCGACATTGTTCGTACTATTGAGAAATGTTATTGTGCCTTTTAACTCACCAAGACTCATTTTTTTTGTGTGTGTGTCTTAGTGCATTTCAGTTATTTAAGTAATTTTTTATTGTTGAAAGAATGCACCCATTCTTTTCCTTCTAATTGTGTGTATTAGTGCATGAGGCAATATGTAATTTCAGAGAAATTTTCCAAAGACTAAAGGCAGGGATTTTTCCATTTGTTTATTTGGGGTTTTTTTGTTGTTGTGTGTTTTTGGTGGTTTTTTTGGCTTTGTTTCTGTTATGAACAAAAGTAAAACATATTGCAGCAGGGGAAAAGAAAAAAAAAAAAATGAAATCAAGTGAAATGAAAATGTGATTGGAGAAGAATCTGTTTTGTTGACTTCTGCTTTGCATAAACTAGAGAAATGTGTCTCTAGGCCAAATAAGAAAAGCCACAGATAAGCAGCAACATACGGTGTGTGGTAGCAGTGACTCTGAGGAACCCATTTCTGTAACTCCTCTGCATGCTGAAATCATATCCAGCTCCACGAGTCACGCTACTGAGCACAGCCTGGGCTCAGTCACAGAATCCCCAAGTCTAGGGCTTTCATAAATTACCGGTGGCCCCATAAAGTGGCAGACTGTAGATCTAAATAACTTACAGGTTTTGAAGGTAAGTTTTAATGCTTCTGGTGACAGCAACTTTTGGAAAGAGAAAGAGGAGAATGAGTTGGACATTTAACTGGAAGATGTTCTTTAAATACTTTATTGGTACTGCTACTACATTGTGTAAAATTAATCTGGTTAACAAAAGTGTGTGAATCAGACAGTTATAACTAAGACAGTCTTACAGGATACAAGAAGAGGATAGGTAGATAAAAGAGAGAGGGAGTAATTTATTGTCCATTCATAAATCTTCAGGTCTGTTATACTCCACTTACATTGATTACAGCTTTCATCATCTACCCCTCACAGTCACCCCTGCATGTGGTTTAAAACCTTGACATGTGGTTTTATTCCAGTTTAAAATACTTTAAAATACTTTTTTCAAATAAAAAAAGTTTAAAAAACAATGCAATACAAATTTCCCCTCAGTCAAGAAAACAGATGCCTTCTTAGAAAACCATAGCATAGACCCTGCTGCATGTGGATCGTTTAGACTTTTCTATCTTCTAAATATTCCTTTTTTTTTTCTCTTCCGTAAATTCTCCCCCTGCCTCACTCTCTGAGTTTGTCAGATCTACCCTCCCTGATGCAAACTGAGTCATCACATTGAGAAAATGAAAACTGATATTGCTTAAATAATTCTGTTTTAGCTCACTGTAAGTTAGATTTTTTTTGTTTTCAGAAAATAAGGCTGGGAATAGTGATGTTTGAGTCCTGTGTTTAGGCAGCCAATAATTTATTTGGGACCACAAGTTGGATTCTATTTTTAAGTTTGCTTAGTTTTGCCTAGAGAAGAGCAGCCGGTTTCCCTTTTGCTCCCTCACCTCTGCCTGGCCTGAGGTTGGTACCTGACAGACAGCTTCCCACCCCTGACAGCCTCACAACTGCCCATGGCTGTGGGAGAGGGGGCCCTATATGTGCCCTTCACAAGCCCCCTTTGCCACGAGAGTAGCAGAGAATAAGAATTCTAGGGTAGACAACATCGCTTGTTCCCCACTGGTGTGTTTCCGAGAGGGCTGGGGGCTTGGCACAGGACTCATAGCAAGCAGGCTGGGTGGGTGATGGCAGGCAGAGCAGGCAAGGGCTGCAGGTGATGCTGCTCCACAGCAGAGAGCATGGTCCCCCATGCAGGGCAGTGTAAGGTATATATGGCTGTGTTTAAGACAGTAGCTCTCCTCTGATCATGGGGACCTGGCCTGACCTTCTGAGCAGAGCAAAGACCCTTCTGCATCTGTCCACTCACAAGGATCCTTCCTTTATACCAAGGTGCTTGTGTGCACCTGGGTGCTGTGTCTGAGGACAGGGCCTCTGCAGGGCATTGCAGCTGTTTAACCAGCCTCTCATAGACTAATGGGGTCATTTGGGAGAACCGACAAAATCAGACCCTGGTCCAGTAGTTCCCCAGAGGCTCCCAATCTTAACTCTAGACTGTATGTTAATAGACATTTTCCAAGCAAGCACAAAAATCAGGATCAAGTTAGAAGCAAACACAAGCTGAACAAAAATGAAAACTGAGAGGGTGGCTGGTTTTGCTTAATTGGAAGTTTTGTGCCTCTGCTTGAATGAGCACTGAATGAAGGAACTACCAAGACTTTAGTGGTTAAAGATTTAATGATCCAGTGTTTTTTCTCTACTATTTAATAGAAATCAGTAGCAATATGTGTACATACCTTTGTTTATATGGAAAAGCCCTGAAGTATTTATTAGAATTAGTCCAACAGGTTTCTGTACTAACCAGTAAGGTTTTTTTGAAAATATCATTAACTGTAATACGATCTTATAGGTAAAGTAAATTTCTTTTCTAATTCATGGGCTCATTTATGTCGGCCTAATATGGAGTTTCTGTATTATACAGAAGTATTCTTAGATAACATTTTTGTTTTATCTGTAGAATTCTGTTTTCCAAAAGGAAAGCCATTCCAGAAGCTTGTTTGTACACACAGTTCTCTGACTCTACTGAAATCACTCAGGTAGTCCAGAATGTCTGGACCCATGGCAAAAAAAGAAGCAGCAGTTTATTTTTTAATCCTGTTTTTATCTTCAGGTAGTGTCTGAATGGATAAAACACAAACAAGCTAGTAATTGTTGTTATAGAGTAGGATCATAAATGTTTACTCATACTAAGCAGTGTCACATCTGTAGGGCACATCTTCCTTCCAGTTCCATAAAAGTTTAGCTTTGAGGTAAATAAGCAAACCATTTGCTAATATGCAAAGTTTCAGGGTAAAATATTATAATTTTACTACATATTTTTCTTTCTGTTTATGTTTTTTATTGTGAATATATGCAGCTGTTTCATGCTATTTTTGAGTGGAGGTACATGTCTCCTACAGAGTGTTTCAGTGTGTTCTTCCAAAGTCCGCTTTAAATCAGGGGAATTCTGGCTATCCATGTTGTGTTGTCTCCACTGTGGACGTGAGCACTTGCCTTGAGAAGTAAGCTTATACCAAACACATGAGAGGAGTTGCTAGCCCAAGATATTTCAGATAAAGATTGAAATTGAGAAATTTTAAGACTGTTATTGGGGGAAAATGATGAATTAGTATTTAACTTATTATGATCCTCAGTATGTTACAGGACCAAATGCTAGATTTTTTTTTTTTTTTTTTTATCTCCCTAATCAAGATAGTAATGTGATATCCAATAGGTCATTGCAGTTTTAATAGATCATCACCTTTTTATTATGAAAATTATTATTACTAGCTATTAACTGTAGACCCAAATGTAGAGTCTGTGAACACATCTACATTAAAGGCAATATTTTGGAAGGTTTTCTGTGGCATATTTGGTAGGAGAGAAATGCTAAGAATAAAAACCATCTAAAAGTTGATGTGACCACATAGGTAGCATATCAAAGTCGGTAGATGTATCTGGATTGATTCCGTAATAGTTTTAGAATTAAAACCAACCAAAAACCTTTAACCATAATTCTGTCAGTTTAAAGAAATGAGCCCGGAAGATCACCTTGCCTGGATCTTCACAAAAGAAGATCTGTTCTGTTGAGGGCAGACTGGAAAATAATCACATAGTTAAGATGTGTAAAAGTAAAAATCTAAATTACTATTTTAACTATGTGCATGAAGAACAGGCCAGATCACAGCGATATTCAATAGAATAAAACCTTATGCTATAGATATTTTGTGTTATATTTAATTTGCCTTAAGGAAGACATCAGAAGTAGTTTTCTGAAATGCTCTATAACCATGCCTGGTTTTCTTTCTACAGACTTGAAGGGAACTTTAGATGACTAACAGTGACACAGATACCTAAAAAAGATTGCAAGTAATCCCACCTCTCCATCAGTTTGGATCTAGGTTCTGGAAGGAAAACCAGGTGATAGAAATGTGCACCAGAGAATATAATGAAATCTTTTCTAATCACCAAAGGAAGAAAGGAGAATGGAAGATTCAAGAAGGAATTCAGTCCTTTGTCAAGTTTATACTGTAGAGATGTCAGATGAAGACTAGTTTTGGGGCAGTTATTTTAGAGTGCAAAGAAACCCTTAAGGTACCCATCATTTTTATTTTTTTTTAAACTTAAGTCCTAGAGACAAGTACTGGAACAAACAGAATAGGGAAGCAAGGAAAAAGATCTAGGAAAGGTCTCACTTTATGTCAGAGAAGAAATACAGAAAATCACACTAATAAGATACCTGAGGAACTCAGGAGATAGAGAATTTGGAAAAAAAACCCCACAAACTTCTGAAAGGAAGGATCTTCAATAATGTCAGGATTACCAGGAGTAGAACTTGTGGTTAGTGGACAAATGAAGCAGATGATGTGCTGGATTATATCCCCTAGTGCCCGAGCAGTTTTGAAAGCCACAACACTGAAGCATGGACCAGGGATTAAGTAAACCTAAAGAAGAGCATAGGCTAAAACTGTCTTGACTAAAACTACTAAACATACTTTTCTGTTTCACATTTACCTGTTAGGGCAGATTTTCAACAAAAGGGTATTTTCCACATCAGATTTTACATCTTGTTTGCCAGCCTGATTAATAAACTGTTCACTCTTAGCTCAAAACCTTATTTTTTCCTCTCCAAAATAGTGCAAGAGCTGTAAGAGTCAAATATGAACCTCTGTTATTTTCCACAGAATCGGTGGCCACAGAGTAATCTCTAAGATTCCATTGTGCTGTGCTGTTGAAGTGTGCACATGCATTATATTCCAGGAAGTAGCATATTTCCTGTTAAACCAACTGTGACATAAATAT